TTTGGTATAGCAGAAAACGCCAAGGTCTCTTTCTTAGAAGTATGGTGCTGAAGGAATGTTGAAAGTAACAAGCCGAAAGCAGGGACAAACAGGAACACGGGGCGACACAAAGGAAACGACATTTGGAAGGTGTTTGAGGGACAAAGGGACCAGCTCTTGGTGGTGTCCACCAGCTCTTCATAGTGTCCACCAACAAAATCGGTCTAAAGGGCGAATTCCTTGTAACACATTACGTGATACACTGGCCTTCGCTGGAGGCAACTTGCATCCGCCCAGATGAACTCGGGGCCACAAATCAAACGAATGTGGCTTCCTTTTTTGCTTTTTGACAAGGCAGTGACAAGAGGCGCCAAAACGGATTCAGCGTCACTGATTCGCCACGGAAAGGGACCTTTGGGGAAAAACTCAACTGGGTGCCTCGGGAATGTCCACCAACCCAACGCATTTCAGGTTTGACTGTGACTGGACAAAAGCAACGCCAGGCACCAGAACGGATGAGCTGTCACTCCACAGTGGCTGAGATGTTTTGCTGGGCGGCTTTGGCTCGAGAGATCGATAGAGATTGGCTCTCTGCTGATGAAAATATTGGCGCCTAATTTGCCTCGGCCCAAAGGGATCTTTTTTCGGAAAAGGGAATCTTCGCTCCCCCCCCCCCCCCTCACCCATGTCTGCTGGCCCGAAGATCCTGTCCGGTGGGGGGTTCCTCGACGTCCGGCAATTTTTTGTTGCAAATGTATAAGACCCCAAAAACCCCAAAAACATGACCTCCTCCTGGCCAGGCCTGTCTGACGTGTCTGAAACTAGCCTCACAGCCCAGCCCAACCAGCAACCCACCCAAGGCCCAGCCCAGCCCGCTTAGCCAATCAGCAGCGCAGTCATAGGCTCACCCACCTCCCAGCCCAACCAGCAACCCGCCTCAACCTGGCATAGACTCACGTCTGAGACTTGCCAGAGACTTGCCCCAGGCCCAGCCCAACCAGCAACCACCCAAGCCACCAACCCAAGCAAGGCCCAGCCCAGCCCGCCCTGTCTGCTGGCTTCATGACACTCCTGATCCTGTGCATTGCCTTACCCTTGCCTTGGGGAGCCAGAACCTGTCCATGCCTGAATCGCCACTTGACCAGCTCTGCTGCTTGCAGTCGAACCACAGACGCTGCGCGCTTGGCTGGGCGAGGCGGGCAACGCGCAGCGTTTACACTTACGAGGTACAGAGAACACAATATGCTTAGAGTTGGGATGATTTGGGTTTCATATTTAGTTTTCCTTACAACCCAAAATCGTTTTGGAGAAGAGTCCAGCAATGACTCTTCATTTTCACGAAGCCCCCGGCCGCACGGATGCTCTCCAGCGCTCCCTGCCATGTAAGCCGGGCTCAGCACACACCACTCTCCTCCTTGCAGGCCAAGGATGCCGATTGGCGAGCAGAGAAAACTGCCCATAACTTGAGGGGGCTGCCCTCAGATCCCCCGCTAAACACTTAACTGTTGGTGGGTTAAATAGAAACTACCACCAAACACTAAAAGGATCCAAAAAGCTAGGGAACCGGATGGCTGGGAGCCAGCAACCTAAGGGGGCTCCCTTGGTATTGCAGACAGTGGCTCCCTTGACCGAAACACCCTCCAAATAGAAGTTCAACTTGTTTCTGGCCTTTAGTTTGGTATTCACCAATACATGTTGCGGAGGGTGCCAAGGTTGGTTGCCTCACACAATGTGCACGGAACTCGGGCAAACTAAAGAGCAAGCTGTCTTTGTCTTAAGTCTTCTGCAGGAGGAAGCATTATCTTCCAAAATAATAAATCTGCACTTTGCAATACATGCACCCTGCACAACTTGATCTGTGTCAATTCGCCGTTCGAAGTGAACTCTGCGCAAGTGGGTTATGTAGTGTCATGTGTTGACACTTGTTCTTGGAAGCTTTCTTTTCGAGATAAGCCCTGTGAGTGTAAGTGTTCGCTTCAACGGCAAACTCTGCGCCCTATAGTCTGTCTAAGCTGTCTCTTCGATCTAAGCCCAGCAAAAAGTTGACCTGGATAAGTTTCTTCGGAAGTAAGCTCTGCGAAAGATCTTCTGCATCAGTCATCGCAAGTAGGCTCTGGACCAAGTTGATCGGCAAACAATTCCTCTTCGAAGTAAGCCTTCTGCATGTTGATCTGTGGTCTAAGCTCTCTGCAAGTTTGCCTGTGAACTTCTTTTGTTCGAAAGTAAGGTGAAGTTGAACTGCAATTGTTCTTGTCGAACGTGTTTTCTTTGTCTCTGTACGCGTGTTTGATGGGAACCTGGCCACAAAACCGGAGGGGGGAGGACATGGCATTTGAAAGAGGAATTAGACGATGTTTTGCCATGTTCGGCGGCCGAAGGGCTCACCAACCGAACTAGAAACGGAGAGGAGTGCGTTTGAGTGCGCATTTTTGTGAGGTTGGAATGGCGAGGTATTCCGGTTGATTTTGTTTGAGGCTTTGGGGTAGACGTGTCTAGTTTGAGGTAACCCTTGGAGGGGATTCCCGGAAGGGTGACTTCTTCAGGAAGGGTGACTTCTTCAGCGAAAGGCTGGTTGCCAAGGCAAAGGCTTACTCGGGCTTGGGGCTGCCTTTTGGACCATGCAGGATTTCCGTTTGGGAATCCGCCATGGGGATGAGCAAATCAGCTTGGCCCTTTGTACAGAAAGGATGTTCAGATTCTGATTCATGTTCAGTCTAATTCTGCCAAGCATGTGTATATATATATATATATATATATCAGTATTCCTGGCCCCCAAATGACCATGGGCAACTGTTCCCAGTCAGTGGGAAGTATCATCGTTTCGTGGTTCTCTCCAATGTCTATTTCATCTCGGTTGCTTTCTGCTCACCTGCTAAAAGCTTAACTTTTAGTGGTTTAATGGAAAACCCACTAGTTGGCAAAAAGTTAAAGTCCTAACATCCCTTGGCAAAATGCACCAAAGTCATGTTCATCCAACATTTTGCTCGACCCCCGTCTAGGTCCTCCAGTACAGAGGTTAGAATAAGGCTACCCGACGTGTTTTTCTTCTGTAGTAGATTGGAACCCTCCCAACCAAAAACAGAAATGGTGAGAAAGGGCACCAATTTCTGGGGGACCTAACAGACTGGACGCCTTTGGGCCTGCGGGCCGACGGGCCGACGGGCAGTCCAAGGAGCGGAGCACTTTTCGGCTCGGCAGATTTCACCGGCTCGGCCGTTCGCACCAGGTGTCGGTGTTAAAGATTTTCAGACGTGTCATGCAAGTTCAAGGGGTTTCCCTGTTTACCCCCCCCCCTTTTGGCTGAGATGAAGGCATGCAAATTCAAGAGGTTTCCCTGGTTTACCCCCCCTTTCCTTTGGCTTAAGATTCCAAGGGTCCTACAGCAGCTTTCCTCCCTTTCAAAGCTTCAAGGGAGGCAAAAGGGAAACTCCGAATTGAAACCCCTTGTGGGTCTTAAGCCAAGACTGCCTTGGAGCATGCTAAGATGCTCACATCCTCAGTGGTGTGAGTTCGCTCGAGGGTTGTGATCATCCTTAGCAACCGCAGGCCAAGGTGAAAGAATCAGGACATCCGTGCTTGGCGGTTGATTTTGAACGGAAACCCAACAAACATCCAAAACCGCCCAGTGGCCAGACTCTGGAAGGTATATGAGAGGGAACCGCCAAGAAAAAGCAAGGGGAACCGTGTGGTGGAAAAGCACAATGGCTGTGCTTAACTTAACTTCCGTCCACGCGACTGCATCAGTTTGAAGGAACCGGTTCCTTCAAGTATCACAAGCGGCCACCGAGCCCCTCTAATTTCCCCCCCCATTTTCCACTCAGAAACGTCGTGGGTTCGTTTCAACAAAACATGAGACAAGGGTTGCTCGTGGTGCAGCTGGGCGTCTCTTCGTCCGAGGCCACCCTTACCCCGCTGCCGAAGCTCCTCCGCAGGCGCGTCCAAGACCCGTGGGTGCCCCTGCGGGTGATCTGCGACGCCACGACCAGAGGCTGGCCCAGGCTGGAGCCTGAGAGAAGTCGGGCGGGGAAAGTGCGCGTTTTGGTGGGGGCGTGAGGGCTGGGGACCGTTCGAACGGAGCAAGAGATGCTCAGTTTTGAGAGCAAACGACGAAACGGTTTCAATACTTAGACTTTGGTCAAAGCCAAGAAACACCTCGACCAACTTCTCTTGACCCCAACGTGGTTCGGATTGGGAAGTGGCAATTTCAACCCCTTCGAACATCGAGTGGGGAAGGTAGCACCTCCAAGCGACCCAGACCCGCAGGCTGCCAAGTAAACGTATAGTTGAATCAGTGGCTTAGAAGCGCGCCGAGGGCCCCAAGGTATCCTTTTGGTAAAGTTGATGGCCCCGTTGAAGGCAATAAGCACATCTAAACCAGTGCCATCTATGTCAAACCTAAAAAGGACAGCTACGAACCCAAGAGTCGCTTCAACTCAACGCAGCTCCGCTGCTCACCACTGCCAACCGCAAACACGAGGGAGGCACTTGGAGGCTCAAAGCTCCGCTCCCGGAACGGGGGCTAAAGCCAGCCTCGAACCATCTACTAGGTCCTCTACTGGTAGACAGGTTAGAATAAGAGTACCTGTCTTTTTTATGTTTTTTTTTCTCCGGTAGTCTATGTTAGTAGGTTGGAACATGTTGGAACCCTCCCCCAAAAAAAGAAACGGTAAAAAAGGGCACTACTGGGGGGCCTAGTCTATCTGTAAGCACTTCCGGGCGCATTGCGAGCGACTCGCCATGCAAAGTGTTTGCCGCACTGCCACCGAGACATGGTCCGCAACGCCAATTTGCAATCCACATGTATCTTCCCGGCGCAGCAACACAAAGAACATAGGAAATCGTGAAGTCAACGACCGAACAAAATCCTCCAAGCTTTCTTTCCATTTGGCTGCCACTTGGTTTTCATTTGGCTTCCCCTACAAACCACGGGAGAAACCCACCCAACAAGGAACGAAACTGGGCAAAAGGCCCAGGCGAAATCCAACCCGAAGAAAAACAAAGCACACAAATCCCTCTTCTTCTTATTTTTTCTCCCCCCGGCGATCCGAGCTTGCCCGCGTATCCGCGTGCTCGCGGATCGGATGGGATCGAATCCGTGGCCCCGGGCTGAACTTGTACCAGCTGCCGTCGTCTTTCCAATCCTGGGTCCTTGAGGCGATCAAGGCCTCGCAGCTGGCGCCTGAAAGCCGAAGCGAAGCGTAAAAAGTTTTTTCCCGAGGCGGGCGGAGGCGCAGGCGGTTCGTGTTTTTTTGTTTCGGTTTCTTTTGACGGGGAGTGGGCGATAGGGAGGGAATGAGTTGGAATGAACCTGGGGATTCCCTTAAAGAAAGCCACAAGGGATGGTAAGGGGGTCACTCCCTGATTCAATGCTGAGAGGAGGCAAGGTGAGTTGGAACCGAACTGAAGCATACTGGTGGTGTCTTTTCAGGACGCCCAAAACCAAAAGCCGCATTCCTTTCAAATACCAGAAGGGCCGCCATTGTGTCAGTGGATTCCGCTGTTCAGTAGGACTTAACGGCTTTACGGCTGAATGCTTCTATGGTTTCAAGGTTTACTGGTTTCATGGTTTCTCGGATTTCTGAACGGCTTCTAGGACCCAAGCCGGGACCCAGGAAACCTGTCTGATGCGGGTGAAGAAAGGAAGCCAGGGGTGACTCCTGTTGGAAACCTATATGCAAATCATAGCAATTACAACAAACACTTCCCCCTCTCGTTGAAAACCTTTGAATTTTTGTGTTGGTGGCTATGTTCATTGCTGAAAAGGGCCCAAAAAAGCAAATACTGTATTTTTGGCCAGGGTTGGTCGCTCCCCAAACCTCCGAAGACTTCCGTCAAAGCCCGGAGCCAAGCGGTGTCAGAGTAGTGCAACCCCGCTTGAAAGGCAGAGCCCATGGACGTGCTGCATCCTGCCAAGGTCCCATTTGGCTGTGGGTCAAAACCAATGGTACCATGTTGGGCTAGGTGAATTCGCCACCCATTTTACTTTTAGAACCTATTTTAGTGGGGATTGGATCGGATGTTCACTGGGGGCTAACCGATTTGGATTTTGACCCATGGCCATTTTTTCTTGGTGTTTCTCGGGTGTCGGACCACACCAACTCCTTGAAGGTCACAAAGGCTGCCGGGACCCATCACAAGGCTTGTGAACCGAAGGACCGGGGGACCTTTTGCACCTGGGCGGCCCGTGCCCGTGCTGCCCTCAGATCCCCCTGCGAAAAGGGACGAACTTTTAGTGGGTGAAATTCGGAAATCCAACCACCAAACACTAAAAAAGCTAAAAGGCTAAGGAACCGGATGGCTGGGAGCCACCAAGCCACGAGAAACATCTTTGAATCTCTTCCTGGGGCCCCTTTGCTGGGATTCATGTAGGCTGGCCCGCGGAATCTCCCATGGAGCCTCTGGTTCCCTTACCGAAGACACTTTGAGGGTGTCCCGCGCTGTGACGCGGCTGTCGTATGGGAGATAAAAGTCGGGAAAGTAAAACAGGGTACCCCTACATTACCCCTTAAAACATCACCCAAGGGAAACTCACCTTACATGGTCCAAACAGGTGATGCCCAAAACCACCCAAAGAAGAAACCCAAATAAAACAGGGGTCACCTAGGTCCTCCAGTAGAGAGGTTAGAATAAGGGTACTCTTTCTTCTGTAGCCCTCCCCAAAAGGGCACTTCTGGAGGACCTAGGCGACCCCTGTTTTATCTGGCTTCCCTATATTTCCCCTTTGGGCGGTTTTGGGCATCACCTGTTCACAATTCATTGGAGGCGTCCAGGTTTTTCCCACCGCCGTCCGCCGAAGCTGATGGCCTGCTACGGACGTGGTGCCAACCTCCACCGCCACCCAGCCGATGGTCTCAGGCTCTTGCACCAGGTCCTGGGGGGGTCGAACATCCCCCCTACCTTCAGGCGGAGCGGGGTAGGGGGTGGCCAACTCCATTTATAGTCGTCCCCATAAAAGGGAAAGTGGAACCACAAATGGAATTCTGGGGGTTCGCCCCCCCTCCCCAATTCCATGTCAATCGATACTGTGGATGGACAGAATCCGATTTGCACCACCTTGAAACCACGGTTGAAACCATTGCTTGTTGGTAATTATTTACAGGCGAATCATCATTTCAGGGTCTCTTAGGTGGTGTAGGATTTCGGCCCCCAGAGTATGGAGCTTCAGAGGGTGAGGCATCAGAAGACATCAAGAAACAACTTGCAGGAAGAATCGAACCATCACTTCTTGATCAATGCATAGGAAATCTGGCATAAACACCTGGTGCTATGGATTGTTCGTTGATGGTGAAAATAGATACCTCCTGCTCATTTGCTCGTCCCCAAAACCCAGCCAAATATGTCAAAACAAAAAGACCCAGCACATAGAGGCTCCTTTGGGTTGGCCTTTTACCCACCTGCAAAGGCATGATTGATTGGTTGGTTGGTTGGTTGGTTGGTTGGTTGGTTTTGTTTGCTCGGAATCGTTGGTTGGCTGGGTTGGTTGCTTTGCTTGGTTTGTTTGTTTGCTTGGTTGGTTTGTTTGTTTGCTTGGTTGGTTTGCTTTTTGTTTGCTTGGTTGGGTTGGTTGGGTTGGTGTGTGTGCTTGGTTTGTTTGCTTGCTTGGTTGGGTTGGTTGGCTTGGCTTGGTTGCTTTGGTTGGTTTGGCCGGTTTGGTTGGTTTGATTGGTTTGTTTGCTTGGTTGGTCTGGCTTGGTTGCTTTGGTTGGTTGGGTTGGTTGGTTTGGCTCGTTTGGTTGGTTTGTTTGCTTGTTCGGTTTGGTTTGCTTGGTTGGTTTGGTTTGGTTGCTTTAGTGGGTTGGTTTGGTTGGTGTGGCTGGTTTGGTTTGATTGGTTTCTTGGTTGGTTTGGTTTGGTTGCTTTGGTTTGGTTGCTTTGGTTGGTTTGGTTGGTTGGTTGGTTTGGCTGGTTTGGTTTGTTTGGTTGGTTTGTTGCTTTGTTCGGTTTGGTTTGGTTCGTTGGTTTGGTTCGTTTTTGTTCATTTGGGTGGTTTGCTTGGTTGGTTGGTTTGGTTGGTTGCTTTGGCTGGTTTGTTTTGTTTGTTTGGTTTGGTTGGTTGGTTGGTTTGGTTTGGTTGATTTGGTTGATTTGGTGGACGTGGTGGACTTGGTTGGTTAATTGGTTAATTGGTTGGCTGGCTGGCTGGCTGGCTGGCTGGCGCGTGGGCACACGTGGGCACAAGCAGGCCAAGCATCCGGAGAATCGACGCCAGAAACCAAAAAACAGGACACATGACCAAAGTTGCCTGCAGGGTCCACTCAAATCCATGTTGACTTTCACACTACACACCCCACAAACAAAAAAGAACCTCGCAGAATGCGTTGGCAACCAAAACTAGGCCCTCCAGTAGAGAGGTTATGGGGAACCTCCCCCAAAAAAAAGAAACGGTAAAAGAGCACCAATTGCTGGGGGACCTAGCCCCATATGAATGAATCAGTTTCTTCGTGGCAAATTGGGGGGCCCTTCTCAAAAAACAAAGGTCTGATTCCCCACTACCAGGGACATCCCCCTAATGAACTGGGGCTCATTCATCTGGGGCCTAAACGAGTGAAACCTCGGGCCTGGCTTGTGCCCCCCCCCGGCCTTGGAGATGAAGTAGGCCTTCCCCGTTTCGAGGCCCAGGGTGGCGGAACCGGAGGCCACGCTCCTCACGGCCTCGGAAATTTGAGCTCGGCCGATCCCCGGGAAATCCCCGGGCTCGGCCGGATGAACCTCCCAGGCCCATGGAGGCTCGGGGGGTTGAAAGGGACATGGGGGAGGCTCCCTTTTGAACTATGTAACCTGATAAGGGGTTTTAAGGGACTTTCGTCAGGCGCCAGGTGATTTTTGTGGCTGGAACTACCTGAGAAGTGGACACTCCCCAAAATGTCCAAACGGTCCGGGACCCAAACATCATTCCAGTATAAGAGATTAACATCGTTCAACGGAAACAACACGAAAAACAACAAAGCACAATTTCGAGGGAGGGGAGAGGGATGGGTAGGGGGCCTTGGGGGCTGAGCTGAACCTGCCGGGGTTCAAGAGAATCCTCCGAGATAGGCTCGAGGCCGAGCTGAAAGCTTTCGGTTTCCTGGATGCCAAACTTGTTTACCACTAAACATATTCACAAAATATGTTTAGTCGCGCTCAAAATCTGGCATTCAGCACGTCTGCCCAAACCAATGTAAGTAAGGAACTAATGAACCAGAAAGCCACACCTATTCATGTGTGAGCATGTCGCCGTCGCGGGGATGGATTTATACTGTCCGGAAGGTCAACGGGATGTGCTTCAAATAAACCTGGGTGCAACTCCTTATGATCGATCGATCTCAAACCGGACCGAGCCAAAAGCAGCTAGACACGGCCAAACATCACAGGAGCAGGTAGCTCCCCTGAAAGCAAACTAGAGGCTCTGTGGGTTGCACATGTTCAGCGGCGACTTGCCGCTCGGCACCACCAGAATCGCTTTGCCCGAGAAACCGTCTGGGCGTTTATGGTGCTCCGAGCAATCTTCCCCAAACGCCGCAAAACCCAAAGCTCAAACACTCTCTTATTGGGATATGAGGGGTACCAACCCAAAACACAAATCAGCAATAATGTCGACCGTCCGCTTACTAATCAGGGAGGTCCTCCTCAAAGAACAATCCCCATTAAGGACTTCTAGGGGTGGTTGGAACCGTTATGGAACATCGGAAAAAATGTGGTTGCCATGTAGTTCGCCCAGTGTTGCTATTCGTTTTCTCTGGATCTTCGTGGACCCATATACTTTTGACCGACACAAAGCGGTAAGGCAAAAAAGCGAGCCGTCCAAACCCAACATCTCCACTCGGCCGCCGCGTTCTTTCGAAGCGGCGACGGTGAGCCAGGGCATCCATCGCGGCGGCTCCTTCTCGTTGCTGGTGGTCTGGACTGAGGTGAGGAACGCCGGCTTCGAGGCAAAGCCCGAGGCGAAATTGACCTTGTCCTCGGAAAGCTGAGTGACTGAGTGACTGAGTGGGCGTTTGCTGGTCGGCCGAGACCATCCGGACAGAAACAGAACATAAAAACTCTTTTGTCCGGTCCGGACCAAAATGAAACCTGCCAACGCTTTCGTTGGCCAACTCACCCAGCGAGAGGCGGCTTTGGTGGATCCGCGGGTTCTTTCCGAAGGACATAGGGAGATCAACTTACCTGCCATGGAGGTCGGTTTCAGAAAGGCACAAAAGCATTTGTGGTGAATAGACAAACATGTCAAACAAAAAACAATGGCCGGATTTTTGCCCAACCGTTGTCCAACCATTCTTGAGGGGTCACAACCGCATCTATATAAACCATTTCCTATGGACATGTTGGTGCTGCCCCCATGTAGACAAGCATCTCCTGTGGTAGATTTGTGGTTGCCGTAGACCGTCGTAGTGCTCAGCAAGCCTCGACAAACAATGCAACTTCCGGATGGATCATGATTCACCAACCTCAAAATAGGGACCCCCCAAAAAATGCGGTTTCGGTCGGTTTCCCTAAAAACCACGCCAAAGAGGGCTCCGAGCCTCAGAACCACGCACCTTTTTCAGGCCCATAGGGTTATTGTAAAGAAACCTTCGTGGGTTGCCAACTCCGGACCGACCATTTAGTTTGCCCGAGACAGTTTGATCAAGACGAGGTCTTGACAAGCTCTGATGGGTGTTTCTGAAAATTGGTGACCCCCTCCTACGTGTCTTCGTTTGGTTTTTCGCTTTAAAACCCATCCAAAATTTGGTCCCAAGTTTTGAGGAACCCCCATATGGCCATGGGTCAAAATCCCGTATCTGCAGTGAACATCCCAATCCCCACTAAAATAGGTTCTAAAAATGGGTGCACCTACCCCAAAATGGTACCATTGGTTTTGACCCACAGCCATATGTGGTCAGAGTAGGCAAGTAGAAAATGGTGCTGAGTAAACCACACTCTAGTTGTTTCACCACAGGAATCAGTGGAGCTGTTTCTGAACATCAATCATATATCGATCCCAAGAAACGCAGAGTGCCTGATGATTCGTGGGTAAGCATCTGAGCAGGACAACAACACACTGATCGACGACCAGGATTGCTCCGAAAACCTTGGCAATATCGGGTAGAATGGAAAACATGCGCTTCAACAACACATGCCGAAGAAGCGCAACAATCTCACGTCTCCAAAACAAGATTCGTCGTTGACCCCCCTACCGCAACAAGTTACCATTTTTCACTGCCTCTTTTTGAGGGCCAAAGGAACCCCTGGTTTTAGACACTCCAGGAGCATGGTCAAAAGGCCAAGTGGGAGAGTCCTCAGATTCAGCATGCACAACCAGTCGAAAAATAACAACAACCAATGAATGAAACCCGACAGCAACAAAAAACACGCCTTAAACAAACAAGAAAGAACACCAACAAACAGCAATAAACAAGCGGACGCAAACTCATATCGATTTCAGCGCCCGTCTGTTTGGTTCACAAATGCAACAGAACAACAAAAGCATAGCGTAGCACGAAAGACATCAACAAAACGCAAAGAAGTGGTACTGGTTTAGAAACACAAGAAGAACTGGCTGTGAATTTTACAAGGCACCCTTTGGTTGACATGAGACTTAGCCGGGGTTCATGTCCGCCAACCCCTTGTGACGTTCCCCATGAAAAATTCATTGAGGTTCCTCATTGTGCAAAGCCAACTGGGTTTGTCTCGAAACATTTCGGGTCCCCAAAAGGTTGGCTCCATTTTAGCTTCCCTTTAACGCTAAGTTGACTCAACAAGGGGTTCCCCTGCTCTGCTAAAAGTTTCACTTTTCGTGGTGTAATACGGAAGACCCGTTCGTTGGCAAAGGCTAAAGTCCTAACATCCCTTGGCAAAATGCCAACGAAACAATCGGCGCTCGCTCGAAATCCGCTCGAGATCGCCTGCTTCCAGCTTGAGGGACCCCAGGCTGTGGGTGCCGGGCAATACCGCGATGAAGCTGGTGGTGATCTCCTGGGTCACTTTCCAAGGTACATACCCCGACCAATGAACCGAGAGGCCTGATGTTCAATTAAAACTCTCTCCCCAAAAGACTGAACAAAACCCTTAAGCGAGACCTCCACGATCTGTCCATTGAACCGCGGCGGCAGAGGGCTCTTTGCCCATGTTGTGCCAGGAAACCAGCAGTCATCTGGTCAAGAAAAACCCGAGGCTTTGCAACTTTTTGCGCTGCCCGCACAGTGGGGATCGGCGTGGTGAGGTTCAAAATTCAAGAATGTGCTACTGCTTGTGCTGCGGGCCGGATCGGTGTGGTCAAGGTTAACATACTCGAGTCGAGGGTGTTGCTGTTTTCTCTGGTCACGGCTGTTGTGTTTGCTACTTTTCCGTTTGTTGCTCAACCCGAGGTTTTTCGATATATATATAGATATATTCTTCCCGCGCGACCCTCTGTGGGAGGTTCAGTGGGTGGATGCGCTGAAATACAAAACAGGGATCCTTACATTATACACCTGAACATTGCCTTGTACATGGTGGGTTCCCTGTATTTTGGCGGAAAAAGCCATGTTTCAAATGGGCAAAGTGTATCTTTTAAGGAGCCCTGCAAAACGCTGTTTATTTCTAGTTGGGAAGTGGTTCAAAAGTTTGTCTCGTTGCGGGCTTGCTCTTGGAAGTCAGCAGCCCCGGGCCCGAAAGCAGGACACGACGTACATGTGCGGGTAGGAAGTCGCAACTTTGACGTGCGAAAGCGTACTAAAACTGACTGTACGCGAAGTACACCTGCAGAGAACTTGCTTGCCAGAGAACTTCAGACACTTGCTCACAGGACTTGCTCAGACATACTTACGCAGAGACACTTGCTCAGAAAACTTGCGCAAAGAAACTTGCTCAGAAAACTTGCGCAGAGCCACTTGCCAGACAACTTGTGCGAACAAACTTGCTCAGAAAGCTTGCTTGCGCAAAGAAACGTGCCACAAGAAACTCGCTGAGGGAAGTTAATAAGAGAAATTCGCAGAGGATCTTGCTCGGGAAACTTGCTCAGAGAACTTTGTGCAGAGCCACTCCCTGCTTCCAAAATGTCAATCGAGTGGACAAGATCCGCTCCGCACCAGTTGGGAGGGATGAAACCCTGTGAAAACTGGGATAAAACATCTACCCACTGATGCGGAGTGGGTTTTCTCCATCCACGCTAGACCCTAACTCATCAGGGCTGGTTCCACCTATTACGGAACTGATCTATCTTGGGTTCCTCTGGCCCTCCACTTCAGATTTTGCCCCAAAAAATGGGTTCATCCCCAAACATGGCGGTCTTCAACTTGCAGTTCCCCCCAAAACCAACCCGAAGAAAATAATGTTAATCCCGGATTAATGAACCCCTGGTTGATTATTAAGGGGGTGTCCCCTTTTAGTGGGGGTTCATCACTGTTGGAGGGAACACCCCCCTAACAATGGGCCGGGTTTATAATTCCTGGGTCAACGTTCTCCCAGAAACCCACTCGCCCATTTGGCTGTGGGTCAAAAGCCCGTACCCCAGTGAACATCCCAATCCCCACTAAAATAGGCCCTAAAATGGGTGGTGAGTTCACCTACCAACCAAACTGGGATCCCAAAACGGTTTTGACAACCACAGCCATTTAACCTCAACGGCCTAACCCACTTATCGCTCGTCTCCTCGCCCGCAGTGGGGGGCTCGAAGGTCCAAGTCGTCGCTGAGGAGCAGCTAAGCATCTCCCCGTCATCGCAAAGGCAGCTCCCGCTCTGCGCCTCCGCGCCGCTTTCTTTTTTCGGGAGGGCGCAGAGCGGAAGGCCATTGGGACAAGGAATCTTGGACAACCCTTAGTAGGGATTGGGAATACATATAGTATTGGACAACCCTATAAGGCCTCCTATATTAGGAATACATATTATTTGGGTATGGGTCAAAATGAATCCACCAGGATATGGACCGCAAGTTTTTAGTCGTTGGTTCCATTTACCAGGGCAAGCCATTTTGGCTACCCATTTTTGACCCACAGCCACTCTTAGAACAAGGCCATGTTTGGGACAACCCTCTATTAGTATTGATTATGAATCGGGATATTCTTATGTATATTCTACGAACCAAAACGCCGCGCTTTTTCGGTAACCCAAACTCGGTTGCTTTCTGCTCCCCTGCTAAAAGTGTCTCACTTTGAGTGGTTGAAAAGGGAAAACCCCATGAGTTGGCAAAAAGTTGAAGTGCTAACATCCAAGCAAAATGCACCAAGAAAACAAAAGGAGCGGAAGAACTCGTCTCTAGTCTGAACTGTTTTGCAAATCGAACTCACAAGGAGCAGGAGCAGCAACCACCGTCACGGACGTCCCTTGCGGGTTCTCAGGGAAAAGGCTTTGGGGAATGAATCTGGGGGTGCCCTCAAAGGCAACTTGCGGGGGTCATTCTCTGCCTATGCAACCAGTACGCCTAAGAGCCTCGCCACACGCGGACTTGTCAAACCAAATCCGCCCGGGTGGTATCCCCAACAGCCCCCAGAACTCTTCCGGAACCCGAGAACGCCCTCAACCTCTCTGAACCGCCTCTCTGAGATTCCAAATCATCCCCTGCCTCTGTGCCTCTCCCCCCATGATTTTACTACTCAAGTCACCCCAGGGGTAGGTTCAAAGGAAACGGCCCCAGTTTCTGACTTTGATAAGACCCAGAAGCAGTGAAAGCACTGACACCAGTGCCTAGAGCCAGCAAAACAGGTCAACTGGAAAGAATCGGACTCCCTGGAGAACCATGGGTGCGCTCCTCTTTTGCACAGGGCTGTTGAGGGGCTGAACCACTTGCCTGAAACCTATTGCAACCCATGGGTTCACAATACTGCCATGAGCCAACGTGGTTGGGGGACACCTCTTGGACCCCATCGCTTGAAAATCCGAATCCAGATGGCTTCGCCTTCATCTTCCCATCCGCCAGCGTCCACGTCTCCGCGCTCTGGCAGTCCACCAGCACCCCGTCGCCCCCCTCCACGCCCACGCCTATGCGGCGGCTTCGCCAGGTTGCCTACCCCAAATACCGCTGGTTTTTGGCGGGGCTCAGCTTAAAAATCAGCTTTGCCACATTCTCCGGGCATATTGTTTACAACATGTGTATCCGCCGGGGGGGGGGGGGCGCGCATGATGCTTTCCAGCTAGGGGTGTTTTGTGATGGTAGAAGAACATGTTGCGTCAGGGTTTGGCATCATACATCCAAAAAAAATGCGGGCGTTTAGAGTAGGTTTCTCCTCTTGGGAGAACCTATGGGGAGCAACCCATATTGGCTCGCATTGGCTCGCGGTTAGAGCTTTGGGCGCCTCGGGCAAGAGACTTGTGCCCCGGGTCCCCGGCGACGCTTCAGGGAGGCTTTCTACTCGGAACGGCAAAGAAGGTCTCCACTCAGAGTTCTGCATGAGTTGGAAAGAAACAAAAAGACAACCTAGGTCCTCCAGAGAGGTTCGAGTATAAGGGTACCAACTTTTCTCTGTACTCTGTTTTAGTAGGGAAACCCTGAACCCTCCCCAACAAAAGGTAAAAGGGCACTACTGGGGGACCTAGAAACCGTGACCCTTTTTTCTCTCGCTTCCGATCGTGGATTGGCCAAGTCGAAAAGTTATTGTGTATCGCTCAACTGGTCTTCCCAACAAGAATGAAGCCATATACCTGCAACCTGCTGCATGCTTGAAGTGGGAGGAGGTGTCGTTTGGAGGGAATCCTTCATTGGGCAACCAACGGGAAACCACCATTCTGAGGGGTCCCTATTTTGAGACAAATCCACATGTCTTCGTTGCCCACGTTGGAAGCCACGGCACACAGGCCACTCTTCAGATGCTTCAGCAGGTTGCCCACCAGCTCAAACCTCTGGGAGGAATCCTCCACGTAGTCGCCTCGGAGCTTCTCTTCGCATCGACGTCCCTGAAAGTGAACATTTTGAGGGTTCTCACTCTTACTTTAGTGTGAGCCACCCCCACTTTGGGGATCATTTTGAGGATTGGACCACTGCTCGAGTTGTTCCCCCCCCCCCCAAAAAAAAAAAAGCTTCTTGCAGAACGGTTTGCAACTGAAAGTGTCTTCCCAAAAGGTACAAAGTCCAGGGACTCAGGGGGTGAAAATGAACTTGAGGATATGCAGTGGGGTACAATCATGGGCATATGAATTTCTGTTTACTCCCTGCGAACGACACCATGCGCCATGTGTCTTTACCCTGAGGCTTGGAGCGTCTCTGTGCACCCATTGTTTAATAAACGCGGCTCTCACATTCAATCAAGTTGGAAAGAGGATCGTGCCCTCCTTTTGTTGGTCGACTTTCTTGTTTGGAAGCCCCAAAAACTGTGCCACGCGGGGAGGAGGGTCCTTTTCAGTAGACTTGTCGGACCTCCGAAAAAAGCCTCCCTCAATGGCACTCCTGCATTGCACGTTTCTCCCCAGGAATGGGCGCATCCTGTTTCCATTGGGTCGGAGCTGTCTGGAGCTTCTCGATGGGATCTTGAGCGTGATTGAACTAGCTCCCATTTTTGCATTGGGATCATGGACCCCCGAACCACCAGCAGCTCGATCACCTTCTGTAGGCTTATATCATTGAAGGAAGGCGCCATCCGGTCAACACCAACCGACGAGCCACGGGTCTCAATATTTATGCCATGCAGCTTCGGGGAACTGAAGGGGATCATCCCTTAGGCCATAGATTTGAACCTGCCAACATGTTCCCAGCCTGAATCCACCCCTGGTATGAACCCCTAGTTGATTGCTGATAGACTTAATTCTGGTTTGGGTCACACACACATGGACGTGTTCATCAAACAGCGCCAAGGTGATAGTTCACTTTGGATTGGCGCAACTGACGTCTCCACCAAAAAGAAACACCAGATCGCCCTTCCTTTTAACCCAAAATCCCAACGACCCAAGAAACAGCATGAGACCTTTCAACCTATCATCGCGATTTTTTTTTCTTGTGGGGGGGTGCTCTTATGGGCCTCCCCGCTGACCGCCGGCTCCGGCTGAAGTTCCAAGAAGGGGCCATCGGTCCGTTTGGCCGATCGATTCGCCAGTCGATTCGTTTCCCCCCCCCCCCCCCCGAAAACTCGAGGGTGCCTGCCATTTCCATTTCCGAACCCAGGGAGCCAAATCTTTCCAGAAACCACCGAACACCACGCAAAAAACAGATCTGGTTAGTGAAAAGAAGAAGAATGGAAAGGGAATCAAGCCCTAGAAAAACAGCCAGTCGAGCGGCAGGTGGACATCTGCAGCGCACTGCCGCTGGCGTCGAGGCAGCTCATAGAGCTGGCCCTGAGATGTTAGCATCGGCACGGGCGGCGGCTTTTTGGAGTTGGTACCAACTCTTGGGGTTGGGTTAAATTGGAACCTCTCCCAGCAACTAACATGGAAGTGCAAGAAGGCCCTTTCCAAGAGGAAAGTAGTCTTTGTACAGGGGTCTGTGCACTTCCATGTTAGCTGGTGGGAGGGTACCCCTATTTTGAGAACATGGGGGGGTTGACAAAAGGATGGCCGGTTCTTTTTGGAGCTCGGTGCCGCGTTCAAGAGCCGCCTTGCTCAAAGGCACCAAAAAGGACCCCCTAATTTCGACAAGCGACATGATGGCTTCCACTGCTAACCCCTACGCTGGTTTGCCTAGAAGCACTGGGAAGGGTTTCCCTCTGGCCAACCAAAACGCTGTCAAGTGAGGTAGCAGATCTGGAGCCTTTGAGGCCAGTGACCCCGCCACACCCAGTGATTTGGGCTATCGGAGAAGAACCGGGAGATGCGGGGGCTCCCCAAAACAAGACACAGGGTGTCAACTTGCAAGTGAGAGAGCACCATCCGAAAAGTTGCCCGTATTCATGGATAGACCCGTCTGCAAATGCTACAAGAATTCCAAAACCTGACACAACAGCTCCCCAAGTCATTAAACACCTACATCAAGGGTGAGCTCGTTGAACCCCATCGGCAGATTCATGGCTTTCCCGTTCTGATCCCCCCCAATACACCAGAATCATTGGCTCGTTTTCTTTACTTGGCTTGAAAGGGGTTCTCCCCTCCGGGAAAAAAACAAAAGATTTTGGTAAGCCCAGATGCCATCCCCACCAGCCCTCGGAACCCCTCGAAACCTCGGCCGGAACCGCTGCACGCGCTCCATGGAACCCCGCCTTCGCGACAACCTCCGGGAACCCTCTGCTGAGCTTCCCTCGAATTGGCGGTTTGGATTGATGGTTTGGAGCTTGGAAACGGTTGCCCATTCAACTTTACAAGAAACAGGGGTTCAACCCCCAAACCGCCAACCCAAACCAAACCAAGAAAGGGTTAATTGCCTTGCCTGATTTCAGCTAGAGGCTAGAGGGAGAAAAATCAACAATTCCATTTGGCCTCGATTTAAGCGAGACCCATAGAGCCGCCCCCCCCAAAAAAAAACAAAAAAAAAAAAAAAAACGAGCGAGCGGTCGCCTCATGAAGCCGATGGTGGAGGTTTGGGAATCCGCGAGCATCGCCTTGAAGCCACTGGTGGTGACCTCCGTAATCCGAACGGACACCTGAGCCACACGAATCGGGAAGCCGATGTCTTTCCTTTTCAGCCTGGCTCCCCAAAAATTAACCGGTGTTTTGGGAGTAAACCGATGGGTCGCTGAAAAAAGGCAAAGGATGGTTACAGTACAGGCCATTCCCTCATTCCACCGCTGAGAACGAACAAGTTGAATGGTGTTGGATGGGAAGCCCTCCCTAACCCCTAACACCAATAGTGCAAAACCTGACAAACACACAGGCCCAGCAGAAATTTGTGTGGAATCAACAAAGCCCCCTGTGTTACAGTAAGCCCGAACGGCCTACTGTTAATGGTGTATGTACAACTAATTTATTGAAATCAGATACGTTTAGCACAATGCCTAAAATGGCATGTGTTGTTCTACCATAACTTGTATAATAGTTTGTACAATAAGGTTTGATATCAGCTGTGTAGTTTAACATGTACATTCAATATCAATGTGTATATATATATATATTCTATGTTGATTGATAAGTGTATGAAACGCATCACAATATCAACCATGCTTGAAAAAATGGAACGACCATATTGTTATATGTGTTACATGTCAAAATAACTGAGTACAAGTTCAAGCTCTATGTGTATATGAATATATAGATATATGCATAAGCATGTGTTGTTCATGTTGTCGGTGTTTAACTAATTATTACTTGTTAATCATCAGTTTGATTTATCTACTAATAGCCAGTTAAACATTTTGCCACAACATGCATTTGCCTGTCGGCTCGTTAATTGTAAACATATGAAGCTTGTATATGTACTAGTAAAACACACATGGTGTAAATGAGTCATATAGAACTTACTCAGGTTCTATACATATTGCCGAAACACATATGACATCGTGTGTGTAATGATATACTTGAAATAGACAGTCCACTGTTCTTCAAAGATAAACTACACATATATTGGATGTGTGTCAATATTTCATTGCGAACACATGTCAAACAATATGTCATTTAATCATGCATAATTTGAATGAACTATTGACACATGAGTCACACATAATTCAGTACGTATTAATTATTGCACATGTAACTTTAAGACATTCAACAAATCCGACGGACTGGTTATACAAATAATATGTAATTTCGATGTATGTTCAACTACATAATACACACTCATGTGACACTAACTATAAGTCACTTATCTTCACGGGATATTTTGTTTAATCTGTGTATATATATATATATATGAGGTACAAATAGCTTTGCAATATGTTTGTATCACAATGTATATGTATATATTATGTATACGTCTAATGGTTTGAGTATAATTGAACTATATGATATGTGTATATATATATATGTTATACAAACAAGCAGCGGAAAAAAAAGAACAGAAACAAAATACTTTATATCGATTATAAGCCTGTATTTCAATACGACTTGAACGATTGGAACTATTTGCAAACATAAACTTATGCAATATACGTTGTTAGTTCGACTACGTTCAAAAACAATGATTAAGACTGCTTAAGAGATTTGATTTCTAGAGGCTTAAACAATTAAAACGGGGCTTTTGGGGTACTTGTTTCAACCAATTTCGGGAATCGTTCATATGATTTGATGCTTGTCATCATTTAGCCCCTTCTATCAAGCCTGTCCCATGGAAAATCCACCACTGGGCATGGCTTTCTTCGTCACTTGCCGCTAGACCCTGAAAGAGTCCTGCAAGCAGAGCCCGAAACCACCGGCTCGCCCCAAAAATGCTTCAGAGCTCGCCATACAATCCTCAGAGCCGTGGCTGTCCCATTCGATACATATATATAATGATATAATATATATATTTATATTTAAGTATATTTATGTATGTCAAAATATATATATATATATATGTATGTATCCATATATATATATACTTACTTATTAAAAAAAGATATCTACCTTCAATTTTGTCACACCGAGAGTGGCGATGCCTGGCAAATGGCGTCCCTTCCGAAGAGGGTGTTCGTGCATGCTACCGCGGTGCACGGTTTGGCATCTGTTTCTTTGAAACTCAAGGTGAATGCCAAAGGTCTTGATACAAAGACCCAACTTTGGTTTTGTCAACTCATTTTGAATGCCCAGTGTTTGGCATCTTTCCACAAACTGTTTGACCAGCTCAAGGTCTTTCGACTCTGAAAAGGGCCATTGGAGACTGGCAATGCCAGGACTCATTTCTTGGCCAGCCCGGCGTACGCATGCTCTATGGTTGGAAACCTGAACGAATGGTTTGCATAAATGACCGTGCAATGTACAAAGTTGTGTGTGTGAGTAAACAACTAATGCATTGCGACGCCGAGCCTTCGTCCGCTCATGGACTTTCGCTACGCAGCACACACACACACACACACACTCACACACTACACACACGCGCACACGTGTGAAACCCTGGCTAGCTCTAACCAGCCTTCTCACCAGCTTTCGAGCTGTCAAAACGTTGTCCAAAGAGACTGCACCATGCACCGGTGGCTATCAGCCGAGCTCATGCCTGCTACTGAGCCTCTGACTGTTTTGCCCCGGACTCATGACGAAAAACCCATCAGGGTTCCTTGTCTTATCCCCTGCAACTGGCCAGCTTCAATCAAAGTGAATAAGTGTTCCTCAGCTCTAGAATGCTGCCACAATGATGATGAGGATGTTGGAGATGCCGCTTGCTGCATCTGCTGCTTTTGCTGCTTCTGCTATCTCGACGCATCCGCATCTGTTGCTGCGCCCATCGTGTCTCCGATGCCTTCTCCGCCGTATTGAAAATCACCGCGGTGCCGATGAGGGTGTCCAAGACATGGTCTGGCTGAATGCTCACAGCCACGTCCGTCTCAACTCCAAGAAGCTCACACTTTCTCAGAAACACCACTTCCTGGCTGTTGACTTCATCGAATGTGTTCACAGCATCCTGCATCATGCAGCTGAAGGAGCGCTCCGTGGAGAGAGAGAGATCCATGAGGCTGCAGCCTTCGAAGCATGTGTCCTGCTGCAGGCACCTTGACGCGAAGCGGTTGAATGCCTCACTCACACTTAGGATGTTAAAGGAGCCTGCATCGAACATGATGGACAAATCGCTGGTGTCGTAGGATCCGTGCCCATGCTGCCCATGCTGCCCATGCTGCCCATGCTGCCCATGCTGCCCATTGTCCTTCTCACTGAACATCTTCAGGTTCAAGGAGTTCTCTGGGGTAAGATCGTCCGGCAACGGCCCCACTGATGCCGCGTCCTGGAACTCTCGCATGCCCACGAGGCAGCGGCGCTCCCCATCCCCAGAGCCACTCCGAAAGCTGGCGTGCAGCAGCTCCACCCGGACCACGTTCCCCAGGCTGTCCAACATCCGGGCGTTCAGCGCCATGATGGGGGTGCTGCCCCGGTTCAGGCCCCGCATCAGGGACCCCTCCACGTGCTGCCGGTCTTCCGGGCAGAACAAATCCAGGACTTGGCGCCCGGACAGGGGGTCCGTCATCCCGTAGCCCTGCAAGAGCAAGGTGGAGAGCTGCCGGGAGTCCTGATGCGTCTAGTGGGGGACCCACATCTAGTACTGGTCTATCACAGTGGGTTCCCAGTACTTGATCCTCTTGTACCAAAACTGGCCCTCAGAGTTCACAACGACTCGAAACAGGTTCTTAAATTATACCGGCATAGGCCCCAGATAGGAGGAGAGTGGTGTCAGCCAACAAGCTAATCCCTTCTCCCTCATGCTACAGGTCCCCCTAATACTTTTGAAAATCCTACATCCAAAAATACTACTTATAGAATAGCCAAGACTAAACCAATTCTAAAGTAGGACCCGGGAGTACGTTTCCTTTGCTACGGCTCTGCAAAGTGGCGACTTTCGAGCCGGAGCTCTGGGACGTCCGGCCATGGGGTTGGAGGTGTGAAAGTGTCATTTTTAGGACTTGCAGGACATTTGACCTTCACAGAAGAAGAAATCATGATCTAGTTGAGGATGGCAAAAAAACATGTATCTAAATTCTAAATGTAAGATGCAATTCCCAGTGAGATTCTGATCAACCATTTCCTTATTGAGTCCTATTTTAGTCCTATTCAAATTCAAACTGACTTTTTGAGAGGGGCCGTTGGTGGAGATGTGACTTGAGTACGAAAAACGCTACAACACACTGTGCTTGACAGCGTTTTTTCTGACCATCATAGTGCTGGGTCTAGTTTAAAAAAACACACAAAAAAAAAACACAAAAAAATGAGGGAATTTAGGATCTCTGAATTCCTTCCAAAATTTGCTTAACATCTGTACCAAATTCTTCCCAAAGTCTAACTGCAATTAAACAGACATTCTTACGGAAAGACTGCAACCAAATTGAATAGTTTAAATCAGGTTCTAAATGATGGCTACTGTTTTTCAACATAAATGTTACACGGGGATTCCTTTCCAATAGAACTGTCGTTAAAAATCAGAAAACATCTAAACAACACGCATTAAACATTTTCCCTGCGTCAACTGAAAACATCTCAATCAAAGCTAGAGAATCTGTTCGGTGTCTGCGGTTGGCTTGACTGCAGGGCTGGCTACGAAAGTCACAGAGCTGAAGGCATTCTGTTGAAGACGAGGATGCTGAGCAAAAAACACAAAACCTCGAGCTTTCCAAAAACAACAAAACCAAAATTGCAGGCCCTATGTCCCCAAGCTTGGACTGCCCAGCTATAGGGCCTGCAATTTTGGTTTGCTTGGTTTTCCAAACTCGAGGTTTTTGTTTGTTTTTCTCGAAAAGTGAAAAAGAACTCGAGTTTTCAAAAGAAGAAGAGGAAACTGCAGGCCCTATGTCCCCAAGCTTGGACTGCCCAGCCATAGGGCCTTCAATTTTGGTTGGCTTGGTTTTCCAAACTCGAGGTTTTTATTCGTTTTTCTCGAAAAGTGAAAACGAACTCGAGTTTTCAAAAGAAAGAAGAGGAAATTGCAGGACCTATGTCCCCAAGCTTTGACTGCCCAGCCATTGGGCCTACAATTTGTGTTTTTTTTTGGGCAAAGTTTTCCCAAAAACATCAAGGGAATGAGATGTCTCCCCCTGGATGACCCCATTCCCAAATTTGTGCAAAAACATCGAGAAAACTAAAAAAGCAAAACATGCACATCTTGAGGTGAAGAGGGGGCCATGGGCTCTGCGTTCTTGGTGTTTAAAGGATTTTTTGATGTTTTACCGTTGTGCCAAAACTCAGGCCCCCTGACCGACCCTTCTGTTTCTTTACTATGGCTGTGCTACAAAGGGATTTGCTTAACAAGCAGCCTCTCAGAGCCGATGTTTTCGTGGATTTGCTCTCCGTGCCAGGCAGAGCGGCCAACATAATTCCCACAACAGCTAGAGCGCTCCGGCAATGCGCTAGAACGAAAAGGATGCACAATGCTGACCCCAGAGTAATGAACCCACCCTATCACTAGAGACATCCAAGAGTGAGGAAATTGTGCTAAAGGAAGGGGACACCCCCGATTAATCAACCGGGGTTCTACTTCGATCCGGGGTTCACCATGACAAAAACCACCGCTCAGCTTCCCTCCCATTGGTTGCCAAAATACGCACAAACAATGTCGCAACATGGGCGATCGCTTTTCTGGCTTTAGTCAAACGCGCCGCCTCTCAGAGCCGATGTTTTAGTGGATTTGCTTAACGCGCCGCCTCTCTAATGGCTTCGCCAACGCAAAATGATAGCCAGCGCTCCGGGAAGACTGCGGGAAGACCGCGGCTCCGCAGCAGCTGCGCAACTCTAAGTCTCGGCCTGCCGCAACACCCGCGCCCGGCGCAAGTCTGAGTCTCGGTGCCTTGCAGCAGCACCCTGCAGCAGCGCGAGGTGAAGCTTTAAGCTTCGGCCTGCAGCAGCACCCTGCCCACCAGCACCATCTACACCCCAAAGCAGCACCTTGCAACAGCCTGCGCGACTCTGAGTCTCAGCCTGCGGCAGCACCCTGCCCTGCGACAGCAACCTGTAACAGCACCCTGCAACAGCACGCTGCCTGCAGCAGCACCCGCACCTTGCAACAGCACCCTGCGCAACTCTGAGTCTCGGCCTGCAGCAGCCCCCTGCAGCACCCTCGCAACAGCACCTGGCCGGAATTCTGAGTCTCGCCCACCCCTCCTTTGCTTGAAGTTAGACCTATAGCTTTCAGCTATCTGGAGAAAAAAGGGAAAGAAACGCACGCAAAGAAACGGGCATGCTGTGCGAAATGGCGGTTTGGTCCGCAAACGACGGTCATGTTCCACCACTTTGGTCCGCAAAGGGCGATCGTTTTCCAAAACAACACCAAAATCGGACCAAATAATGAGCATCGCGCCTACCAAATGATCAGCACAGAAAATCATGAAAACAATGGACACCGAGCACATTGCGGAAACCATGGAACCCGCAAAAACCGCTGGATACCGTGGAAACCATGAGAAACCACAAAAACCAAGGAACACCTTGGAAACCCATGGAAACTGCAAACACCCTAGAAATTCTGGACACATCGGAAGGCCCGCGTTGAGAAACGAGTCCTCGGTGAGCTTCAGATCGCTGTCGATCTCCACCACGGCGTCGCAGAAGCCCAGGAGCAGCTCGGAGACCGCCTCCAGCTCCACGGTACGAACCTCGAGGTTCAGGCTGATGCGCACGTTCTTGTAGGTCTGCGCTCGCACGGCATGGACGCCTGAGACCAGCATCAGCCAAGTCACTGCCTGGCCCGAGATGAAGCTGTAGGTGGTGGTTCCTTCCTTCGCGAGGAAGACCGCTGCGCAACACCCCACGGTATGGCAGATAAAGGGCAGCCAGTCCCTCTGGGCGCAAAGCCCATTGATGAAGCGCGGAAGCAGCGTGAGGTAGGTCACTTGTTGCAGCTCAGCCTTGTCATGGTCACACAAGAAGATTGGAAAGAGGCAGCTGAACTCCATGATCAGAAACCAAGGATCCAACATCCACGGAGGGAAATAGTCTTGAGCGAGCACAGTGCAAAAGCACATTAAGCAGGATAGAATATTGGACGGATCTAGGGCCGGGTTGTAGCCGTGTGGCCTTCCCAAACGCAACTCTCTTTGGATCGCCAGCAAACGAAAGACCAGAACCGTCAGAAAGGTCTTTGAACCTGCAATCACGAAGCGGCATAAGGTGGCACGATGCCGTTGGAGCACGCGAGGGTCTTCTTTTCTGCTCACGATGTTGCGCCAGCAGCTCGCAAGACTATTACGCATGGCACCTCCAAATCTCTGCCAGTGTCCTCCGCGAATAAACCGAAGGAGCTTCCAGAGCAGAGCTGCCAGCATAAAGCCTTCTAAAGCTAAGATGAGGTGGTACAGCACCTCCCCATCGATCCGCAAGGCCATGGCTCGGCTTCGCCGGGTCGAATTCGTCACGTGAGATGTCGCTCGTGCGTAACAAGCAGCAAAATGAAGTGTGCTGCCTGTGCTGCTGATGTTGGCCGCTTGAGTTCTCGATGTCACTTCAGAGCTGCGAGCTGCAAAAGAAATGGCAACGTGCTTCTCGCTCACTTCCGATCGAGTGGATTTGAAGCCAAGAAAAAAGCGGCCCCACTTTTGGTTCACCACGAAAATGGTTTCTTCCAAAAGCTACGGCCAGGAGCTCAGGACGCGAGCGAGTCCTAAGCAAGAGCCTGTTTTGTTCTTCCATTTGGTTGAGACCCCTGGAAAAATATGTCCAGTAGTGCCAAATTCCTTTTACAACCAACAAGGGAAAATAACATAAATACTCTGAAGCAAATGGAAGTATCTGTCCAGACTGAAGCAAATACCCTAAACCCTAAACCAACAAGGGGAAGAAGAAAATCATCTTCAGCACATGGAAGCTTTTTTGCCTCCCAGGGATTGGGCCCCTCTTCCCGAAACCGGGCAACTCCAATCCCCCCGAGCCGTAAGCCGTTCGCAGCGAGGGCGCCGGGTTCGCCGGCTGCTCCCCCAGAGGCACCGAGATCACCGCCGGCACCTCAAAAGGATTGTGTCATTCTAGGTGCTGATTTCAAGCAAACAGGGCGCTTGATGTTTTTTCGCCGCTTGCAGGCTGCTCCTGTCGTCCCGAACTGCTTTCAGGTTTGTTGGAAAGAGGGACCCTGAAAAGGGTTCAGATTAGTCTAGCGGTTGATTCCTTGTCCATTATTTTCAACCATCGTTCTTTCAAAATCAGCGGGTTTCCCTGGGTTTTCGGAGGTTTTCTGGAAAGAAGGATCCCTGGAAAGAATGGGGAAGGTATCCCCAGAGTCATGGGTCGAACGGCCAAATTGCTCTAATCGACCTGCGAATTTCTGGTGGATCAACCACTGGCCAAGTAAGTTGTTGATCTGAGCTAGGTTATAAATCCACTCAAAAGAGTGTTCCGATATTCGGGGCGGGGAAAAAGCAAAACAGCCCAAGTGGCTAACGACTGGTTCAACATGTTCAAGTTCCAAAAGAAGAAGCAAGAGCATGATGGACTCGGTACCATACCGATAACCTGCTTGATAACAACCCGCGAATTGGTCACCACGATTTTTTCCTCATGGTCTGCCACAAAAAGGGTGCTCTTTTTTTTGTCACCTACTAGAGAGCTAAATGGACCCACTGTTTTGATCTTTTTCTCCAAGCCTTCGGGCCGGCCCCAGGAGTTGATTTTTTCCTGAGGCGTGTTGCAAAAATTCTGCGCAACGAAGAAGGAGATCCATGAGGCCGATGGCAAGCTTCCAACAGGGAACATGTGTTGCCATAAAATTTGAAGGTCGAAAGGACACCCACCGTTGGGTCCGCGATCTCGGGACGCGCCCGAATGGAATTCCGAAGCCACGTGTCAAGGATGGCCTCATGAGCTTGTTTTAGCTCGCCAAAGGGAAACTCAGATCAAATAGTTGGGTTTGTGTTCCTTCGGGGGTACCTTGTTTTTGTGTTTTCAAGGGAAACCAAGAGACCACCCACCATTTTTCTGGGGTCCTATGTGGCTGTGGGTCAAAGCCAATGATACCATTTTGGGCTAGGTGCATCTATATTAGTATTTTAGTGGGGATTGAATCGGATGTTCACTGGTACCCACAGCCATGTTGACACTTGCACTTTATACTCCCCATTTTAGTCTATTTTAGTGGGGATTGGGATGTTCACCAGGGTACAGGGTTTTGACCCACAGCCATGTTGACACTTTGCGGAACCGCATCGAAGCGTCCCCAACGAAACGAAAAAAAATCGCCGCCTGGGCGAAAGGCGTGGCAAAGGTGGCGGCCGTCCAGCGGTCGGTGCGCAAACTCAGCCGGCTGAACTGGAAGACGGCATCCTCGGGTTTTGGCTTTGTCTCAACGGGTAAGGATGGTGCCTCCTGTAGGCGTCCTTAGGTACCTAAGAAAGAGGGTGTCATCACAAAAAACACACACACACACCCATGTGTGCGTGTCCCTACATGGAGGTAAAATAGGGCAACTCCTTGGAACGGGTGTCCCCTTTTCCGCCCCTTTTCGGGTATCAAAAAGACACGCCCATTGGATTCCGTGGAAAATGAGCAGGTGAGTCGGGCTTTGAAGCCCCAGGATGGACATGGGAATTCGAGCGAGTCTGATGTTTGTGGCCTTCTTGTCCCAAGACTCAGGGCGCGATATTTTGGGGCTCGGCGCCCATGTGCGGGTTGGTTGAGGGAAGCCTTCCACCAGAAAAGATCCTTCCACTTTGAGATGCGAAAATATGTGGTTCTATGTTTTTCAAATACCGTGGATGGACAAAATCCTGCACCAGTTGGTAGGTGGTCCATAATAGTATGTATAAGCTTTCATCCATCCCACCTGGTGCAGGATTTTGTCCATCCACAGTAGGTCAGTGTTTCCAGCCTCAGTAGGTAAGCAGAGGTTCTTTATGCATAGACTGTGTTGCATGACGGTTCCCCTGGTCAGCTAATGTACTGGGAGCTTTTGCAAGGGTACCATTTTCCGGTCGGTTACCTTCCATTTTGAGGGGTACCTGTGACACATCCCATCGAGACGTGTAAATATTTTCTGACAATCAAAGGATTGGGCAGATCTCTAGGCAGTAGGCGTTTTCCTCGCCGGAAAGCAGTTTTCCGAGCAATTGTCCTACCCAACTTGAGAAACATGTGAATCAACAATTCTGAGCCCGATCGTTTCCTTCCAGATTCAGAAACGACGGATGTTGACAAAGTCAAATGGGCTAAACCTTGAAAAGGAAGCGAAACAACGGTGAAACCAAAGGAGACTCTTGAAAGATGTCACACTTTATTAAGTCACTAAATCCCCCCAATAAAGCACAGTCTTACATGGGCTGTTTCAAGACTCATCCAAGAAAGAGCAAAGGCGGATCATCGTTTTTGCGTCTTTTTGGAAAAACGGTGAGGTGTGTCTTGCTTTAGAGCCCAACAAATCGGCGCTTTCCTGTTGGTTTCCCTTGAGGGGAAACAAGCGGTCACACCAAGCCGTACTCCGTCTGGTCTCCTCGGTCTCGCCGTGTTTGGGGGTTTATAAGGGGTGTGGAACAAACGTCTAAAGAAACCACTTCAATGCCGTTGGGGGGGGGGGGATTCCTGGTAAACGGCAACCACCATTTGAACACACCAAAGTGGAATAATGAAATGCCTGTTGAGCCTGAAGGTCAGACCGGGTCTGCCAGGTTTTTGTGCACGCCCCTGAGTCTTGGTATGTCAGTCATGCTTTTCAGACATGATGCAGTGCACCTGATTCGGGCACGGGAATTCCGAGGAGTACTTCTTGGTTTGGGAACCCACTCTGTGGAAATGCATTCATGACTCATGACACCAAATCAATCGCTGAACCCAACATGCTATGAAACGTCCTTGATCGTCAACGACATCAGCGAGATGCCAGAGTGCGAAAACTTGCAGAACAAGGATCTGCTCCCTGCATGGTTGTGGTGGTCGTCGCTGTGGTAGTTGTTGTGGTTGTCGTAGTGGTCGTGGTAGTTGTGGTAGTCGTAGTGGTCGTGGTAGTTGTGGTAGTCGTAGTGGTCGTGGTAGTTGTGGTAGTCGTAGTGGTCGTGGTAGTTGTGGTAGTCGTAGTGGTGGTGGTGGTTGTGGTAGTCGTAGTGGTCGTAGTGGTCGTGGTGGTCGTGGTCGTGGTTGTCGTGGTTGTCGTGGTTGTCGTCGTGGCGGTTGTTGCCGGGACCGTGGTCGGCTTTTTAAAGACACACCGATATGCGTCCCTTATCATCGTAATGTCCCCCTGTGACAAAAATTTGCGGTTGCCGACCAAGTCCCACCCGCTGGACGGAATAGTACTGTAGTAGTAGCCATCCTTGGTTCACGCCCAACTCTGAACTAATGTGCATGCACAAAATCCTGCAGACGGTAGGTGTTTATCCTATCATTCATAGGGCTTCATCCATCCCACCGGAGCAGGATTCGTCCATTCACAGTAGGATTGGAAATTTTCTCAACGGCTACTTGAAAGAAGTTGCCAAACCTTGGCCCAGCATCGTTGATGCTTCTGTCTGAGCTTCTCTGCTTGGGATAGTGCATGATGCTCTCGAAGTCGTAGTCCATATAGCCAATCTGGCGCGTTGGGAACCCAAACTGAACGCCAGATTCGGTCCCATGGGCTTGTAGGGCGAAAACCCCTGGTTATCTCTAGGTTTCGCTTTCGTTTCACTTGGAACCAGTCTGTCAGGACTCCTTGCCATTTCGACCCAGCCCTGAAGGTGCAAATGGCATCGGATTTGTGGCGCCTCATTTCCAAAATCGGGCCCAACAAATTGCCAGAAGGCGTATTTTCAAGAGCTAAATGTGTTTGCCTTGATTTCGTGCAGTCGTTTTTCCCCTTTGTTGCTCGAAAGCGGCCTTGCATCAAGGGGGCTCGACCGTGTGTTCTAAAGTACTGAACAAATACTGCAATAATGCGCTTGTCCTCGGGCCTATCGATCGAGCGGCTCAGCAAATGTGCGGTCTTACGAGGCTGGGGCCTAAGTTACTCTGTTTGCGAGTTCGCGTCTTGGTGCGGCTGGAATCCGGGCGGTGGCTTTGGAGCAAGCCGCTTTTGGGCGTTGATTCTGTGGGACGGTCGCGCATTCACCTTCCCAGCATCGCCAACATCGCTGGAGGCTCCAACTTCAGGCCGGGGAGTCTCAGGGCCTCAATGAGCGGAGCGACTTTGAACACATGTCTTTCACACGAACTCTGATTGACACGTCTCGGGCCTGCCCCACAGCAGATTAAATAGGGAAAATACACTACCTCCCATGCCATTTGCCTCTATCCCCCTCCAGTCGACACCGCGACATCTTCAGTCGACTTTCAGTTACCCTCAAAGAAAATACCCATGAAGAGCCACAATCAAAACCCAGAGTAGAAAAGAAGAGGTCCCCAATCCTAACCAAGACATGTTCAGATCACAAATTTAAGGAGGCAACCTCGCAAGTTATCTGGCTGATTCTGGCTGATGTCCTCGCAGATGCGATGCCGCTAAGGCACGCAGGGACTAACAGGTGAAGTGAGACATCCCTTTAGCAGGTGTGACAAGACGAGGGTGAGCACCTGAGGTAGCAGTTACCGCCCAAAGAGCCAGAGGCTTTGCTGCCATAAACACAAAGATTATTGCACTACCAAGCAGGCCTTGCAGCCAGCCTTTTTGTCAATTACCGCTGCTGGAAAGTGGCATACAGGCCAGGAAGTCATCCTCGTGCCAAGTCAGAAAACAGGGCGAGCAGACCCGAGGGAAGAAGCCGACCGAGATACCTTGATCAGGAAGTGCCAGATGGTGCGTGCCCAGATCAGACTGTGGACTTTTGTCCAGCCAGACTGTTGCACCACGCAACCCTTTTCACCTTCCAGTGTATTGCCCTGCGTAGGATGGTGGGCTATTGTCAGTCCCTGTTCACCTGCCTTTCCTTGGCCCACGTCCTACTCAAGTTCCTCATTCCAGCGCCTCGCTGTCTTTATTTGCTGTCTGCGGACCTTTATTTGCATGGAATGATTTGCGGCCCATCACCTCACCGTGGCATTTGCGGCCAGTGGGCCCAGCAGCCTGGCGCATCGGAGCAGATGCTTCCGGATGCGGAGCTCGGCCGTTGAAAAGCGACTTAGGCTCGAGCGACGCGTCTGTGATTGGTGGACAAATCACGGCGAACCGGAGCCCCTATCCGGGCAGTCTGAGAGGCTCTGGAAACCTCCCCTTGGCTCGATGATTCATTGTTTTTGTTGCATGCTAATTGGTTCGTCCCCCAAAACCAGCCGGCTATTTCTATGTGCGGGTCGGAAACAGGGGGGGGGTCCCAAAACAGAGACCCCTGCGTCAAGGCAACTAAGAAAGCAGATGCCGCAACTGCCCTTGAAATCTAGAGGCTCCAGGATTCCCAATTTCAGATATCACCCTTCTCAAGGGACACTCGAGGGATATTGGACCCAAAGGTACTTGGCCATGGGGCATAACCTATGGCTCCATTTTGGGGTGGATGAACATCCATTTGACACCTATTTGGATGTTCACGTTTTGACCCACAGCCACTTCACCCACCAAAAAAAACGCACCCGAAAAAAACACCCCCAAAAATAAAGACCTCGAAGCACCGCCCCCCCCCCCCCAATCCCCTCCCACCGCCGAAACCGGACCCGGCCTGCGCGTCGCCCTCCAAGTCCTTGGCGGAGCCGACGTAGGCCTTCTCCGCCGCGGTGTACTGGTTCACCCAGCTGGACGCCACGTTCTCCCAGTACCTCGGGAGAAGGAGTCACGGGAGAGCGAGCCACGGGAAAATCGAAGCCGAGCCACTTCGCGGTGGGAACAATTGCGGTTCCTTCCGGAATGCTGCTTTCTTTTTTGTCCTGGCTTCTTATTGGTTAGGACAATTGGAACGATGTTCTCTCAATTGTTGGATCTGAAATTCACGACCACACAGCTTCAAAAGCCAGGGGTTCCAGCGCGTTTACAACTTTAAGTCATAATCATAACCTGGTACTACGCCAAAGTGGGCATGTGGCAAAATAGGGTAACCCTAAAAGTTGTTTCCGTTTTGTTTCCCTTTGAACCAACCCCTCAAAGAGTAGTACGGTAGTACCTTCAAAAACATATGCCCATGTGAAGATTTCAAGTGCGGCACTCGTACAGACTCCGACGTCAACCTGGTCAACCTGTTGATGACACCTCCCTAGCTGTTCGTGAGAAGCGTCCAGCTGTGGCTTTTCCCGGCCATGCTTGCTT